TTTCCAAGTCGTCAGATATTACTGGTGGCTCTTTTCCCTTTACGTGAGGGTCTCAATGGGGTGGTGGCTTTTACGGTTATCGGCTAAAATTTTGGCTCTTTTACGGCTATCGGTTAATTTTTTTCAGTTACGGTTAACAAAATTTAATAATTCAAAGAGTTCAATAAATTCAAAGAGTTAAATATTAATAAACCTGTATTCTTTGTATCTTCAAAGCAAAATAAAGGTCTTAGGATCATCACGGGATAAAATGAAGTTATTCTTTTGAAAAATTTTAACATTTGATAGATCATACTATTTATAAAGTATTCCATTTTAAATATTATTTTACGCATAGAAATATCAATAGTCAATGTAAAAATAATCTTTGCGAAAAAGCAAAAGCAGACACGCGAACGCCTAACTCAAGGCAGGGGGGAAAATTAGTCATGACAGAAACGGCTGTTTTCACACTACAGACGGATGTGAGATAAGTTATCCGTTTGATAATTCGCGTCAGATAGGTAACACGTCTTAATTTGAAATGGAAAGGGTTTTGATTTTGAATGAAAAATCCGCCTGACTTTATCCGTCAATTTCGAAGGACAGTTTGAAGACGGGATTATCCGTTCCAGATAGCCTGTGTACAGCCGCCCCCTCCCCTCAGAAAAAATCGGAGAAGGGGTGTCTGTCGGGAAGGGGACGACTGTACACAGGCTAGTCTCAGACGGATAATCCATTTCTACCTCTAGTGTGAAAACGGCCAAAACCAAAATTCCGGTGATCAGTGTTTTTAATGATAGCGAAGGACTTGACGGAACGACTGTCTGCCATTTACCCGCTTGTCCGTAGGCCCCATTCCCATTATTCCTCGCGCCTAATTCTTTTCGGGTCACGTGGTCCGAGCGAGTTTGCCCGAGATTGCGTGGAAGACGCCGTACAGGGACTAGGCATGGCAATGTCAACCGTAGCGTCCGAGAAAAACGGGAAATGTTGTTTATCGGAAACGTGTTTTACAAACAGTGACATCTCTAGCTGCGTGTTGTTTCACTAGTGTTTCGAGGGGACGACCTCCTGAAAATCGCAAATATTAATCCCCAGCAATACATTAATCCATTTTCGCTATGGAAAAAAAATATATTAGTTCCCCGAGAGAGCGGCACTCTTAAGCTAATGGGACAACCATGAGTGATAAGTGTATTAGGGAGCACGAATTTATTCTAATTAGTAAATGCTAATATCTATATTGAATAAATATTCGTGTTCCGTAACACCAAGTTGTAACCAGTGATCGAATGTTTGGATTGTGTGACGCCGAAGAGAGAGTGGGACAGTTCAAAACTCAGTGTTAATCACGTGCTTTAGCTATGCAACATTATAAATTGTACCAACTAGAACAGCTTTCTTTCTCACTGTCAATAAATTCTCAAGCCCCGAACATGAACCTTGTCCCATGATGTTAATTCACCCCTTTGATGTTACCTGGCATACTTTTTTGGCTCTCTCTGAAACACTGGGGCCATTTATCCGAGGAAAAATAGACACGTCTCACAGCATTAGACGCGTCCTAAATAAAGCGCAAAGTATCCCGTATAAAAGGCACATTAAGACGCGACTAAGCAAAAACGCGTCTTATCGAAGAACAGGTGTTAGGGGCTGTTCTTAGATCAGACTCGTCTCAGCTAATTTCAAACGAAATGTGCCGTTTGCACGGGATAATTTGAGTCTTATTTAGGACGCGTCCTATGTAAGACACATCTTATTTTTCCTCGTTTAAATGGCCCTGTTGTTCCAACCATCCCTCCCTATGACTTGCGCATGTCACATATCTAGACATGATTTTAAGTCTTCAATTACAAATTTATTTTTATTTATATATTATGTATTTATTTATTTATTATTGTTTATTTTTTTGTTAATGGATAGTTTCATGCCCAACTTTTTTAATAGTTTACCATCAGGAGAAGTGTTCCGTTACAGTTAGCGACAGATGCAATTTGCTCCTGGTATGAAGTGATAAGCTTTGTCTGATTTTTGGCAATAATTTCTTAATGCAGGAAGTTAATTTCGATAATTGAAAAACAAATGAATTTTTGATTACGAAGAGGTGCTCCCCTACAGGTCACTCTTAGCCCCATAGACTCACAGAACGGATCAGTCTCACTCTGCAAGCAGTGGTTTGTCCAGGCCAGAGAGGAACCACTGCAAGCAACCGTTTGCATTTCCATTGAACATGCGCTTGCACGTGACGAAAACATTAAACGTATGGCATCACTTCCTCTTGTTTCGTAAGAAACATTGAGGACTTAACGATCCGACAACGCGACGGCAACGAGAACGTCAAAGAAACAAACAAACAAACAAACAAAATTAGCTTAGAAGGAACTTTCACTTTTACTTTGCACGTACATCACACTTTTTTGTAGATTTTGTTTGCCGGATATGCGGCTATGACGTGAAATGGCCTAGTTTTACAATGTACATTATATGGAGGACGTCGCATAAGCAAGCGACGACAAAATTTTATATCGTTTTCTGAACTCCTACTTTTGATATAGTAATCACCGCGATAAAGACTGGAAGAACGTAAATTCACTTTTTAGCGACGTTTTCGGATTCGCTGCGGGATCCAACGACTCGACAGCAACAAGAACGTAAAAAACGACAGCAGCAGTAGCAGAAACCAGCAACAACGCAAAAGCAGAAACAAACAAATGTAAAAAACAAAAAATAGTAGGTTTTATAAGCAAAAGAACAACTGTGCGTGGGAATCATATGTATTTCTCTGCCGTTTTTGGACGACTTCGACGTGAAATTGCCCACGATTGCGTGTATCGTTCAAAGTTAAGGCCTGATGGGTTTTGTAGCTGAATGTGGGTTGATAAATGGTCTCACTCGATTCAAGGCGCTAATTCCTGAAGAGATTTTCTTCGAAATGTTTTCGATATTTGTTGGACCAGGAGAGGGTCTCATCAATTGTTAGTCCAAGAGACTTTGAGCAGTAAACTCTTTCGATTTCCTTGCCCTCAATATGTACTTGGATGGAAACGTCAGCTTGGGTTTGTAGCATAGCGTCCGGCCAGGAGAATCCACTGTTTGCAGGGTACGCATGGTTTCCACCGTAACCAAGAGTCAGGCTAAAACTAACTAAGGACAAAGGACCTCTCCCAAGGGATTGAGACCCCATGGATGGAGAGGAGGTGGGGGATTGCGACCCCTGGCTAAGGACTTCTTTTAGGGGAGTATGACCCCTTGTGAGGAGTAAGGACCTCTTTTTGGGCATTGTGATTGCAGCTCTAAGGAGGCGAGAGTAGGAACCCTTCTCAGGGGATTTTGACCTACATGATGGGCTCCTACCTACGCCCCTGGAGAAGAAGGGGGCTTGTGCCCCCTTTTCAGGCTAGTCTAGTGACTAGCTTAATGACACTCCCTTGTCGTTTTAATTCTTCTCCCCCAATCCGTTTACTACCCAACATGTCGTTATACTGTTGTTTCTCATAAGTTGAGAGCATTAACGCTGGACAAGTACGCATTTCACGCGCCTAAAGAAGAAAAATAATAAAATTAATAATTTGTTTTCCTCTCTCCGCCCCCTTATCCCCTCCTTTATACCGTTAATTCGTATAATTTTATTTTTTCGCTCACTGCCGGTGCAGTGGGTCTGAGGAAAGAAGGACGACCGCTCTCGGTCCATTATGAAGCATGTTGCCAAGTTTATTCTTTAATATTTATGTTTTCAATATTTCTTGTCAGTTTTGAACCGTTTGTTAAACTGAACTGGATATTTGCAAAGGAATAGCACTATATTTGTTATAAGCAGGAATGTTTTTGCCTAATTGATTTTTTTTTTCTTACAAACGGCTGACGTAAAATTCATATTCAAATTAACAACTTATTAACCCCCAAGCTTGTAATTCCCTAATATTGAATAGCAGGGGAAAAGACATGAACTTTTTTTTGAGAATACGCTGCGCTTTCAATTCTCCTTTTCTCTAGAAACGCACTTGTACCTCGGCACAAGTCAAAGCCACGTTATTAGTATTCCCATGACCAACATATGGCTCAGAATTAATATAAGTCTATTATTTGATCAACAAACACCTACAGCAATACCTTAAATTCAGTTAACTAAATAACATTACTGCACTCCTTCTAACCTATAAAGCCTTTCAATGTTTGAATTTGCTAACAAGCTCTTGATGCATTTGGCTCAAAGAAGGCAAAATTCAGGTGACTTGTCCAGACGAACATCATTTAAATCACTTGCCCAGATATGACACATGCCTAGAAAATTTAAATTCAAATGGCTCGTTCACCCCCCAAGATTTCGACTCTCCTAATGGTGGTGCCTTCCCGCTTGTCAAAGCAACGAATCCCCGTGACTTACATATGTGCTTACAATTAAATTTATCAACAAAAAGCAATGCCTTAAATTTGAAAATCAGTCTCTCGATATTCCTACCGCGCTACTCGTAACCCAAAAGGGCTACAACTTTTTTTTTTATTGTCAGTGTAATTTGTCTTAAAAAAGGCAAAATTCAGGTGACTTGACAAGACGAACATCATTTAAATCACTTGCCCAGGTAACGTCATTAGTTTTTATCCAGTACTTTGTTCCATCCTTCCGTTCAATAAATCCCTTCTGAAAAGAACCTGAGCCAATACTTTTTGGCAGGACCAACGTAGCTGAATGTGTGGTGATAAATGGTCTCACTCGATTCAAGGCGTCAATTCCTGAGGGGATTTTCTTCGAAATGTTTTCGATATTTGTTGGATCAGGAGAGGGTCTCGTCAATTGTTAGTCCAAGAGACTTTGAGGAGTCAACTCTTTTGATTTCCTTGCCCTCAGTATGTGCTTGGATGGAAAACACAGCTTGGGTTTGTAGCATAGCGTCCGGCCAGGAGAATCCACTGCTTGCAGGGTACGTATGGTTTCCACCGTAACCAATAGTCAGGCTAAAATTAACGAAGGACAAAGGACCTCTCCCAAGGGATTATGACCCCAGTGATGGAGAGGAGGTGGGGGATTGCGGCCCCTAGGTAAGGACTTCTTTAAGGGGATTATGACCACTTGTGAGGAGTAAGGCCTTCATTTTGGGCATTGTGATTGCAGCTCTAAAGAGTCCGGAGTAGGAACCCTTCTCAGGGGATTTTGACCTACACCCCTGGCGAAAAAGGGGCTTGTGCTCCCCTTTTCAGGCTAGTCTTGTTAGCGTAATGACACTCCCTTGCCTAGGTAATTCTTCTCCCCCAAACCGTTTACTACCCAACATGTCCGTACGCAGTTTTTTCTCGTAAGTTGAGAGCATTAGCTCTCGACAAGTACACATTTCACGCGCCTAAAGAAGAAAAATAATAAAAATAATAATTTGTTTTCCTTTCTCCGCCCCCTTATCCCCTCCTTTATACCGTTAATTCGTATTATTTTACTTTTTCGCTCACTGCCGGTGCAGTGGGTCTGAGGAAAGAAGGACGACCGCTCTCGGTCCATTATGAAGCATGTTGCCAAGTTTATTCTTTAATATTTATGTTTTCAATATTTCTTGTCAGTTTTGAACCGTTTGTTAAACTGAACTGGATATTTGCAAAGGAATAGCACTATATTTGTTATAAGCAGGAGTGTTTTTGCCTAATTGATCTTTTTTTACAAATTAAAACGGCTGACGTAAAATTCATATTAAAATAACTTTATTATTTGATCAACAAACAGCAATACCTTAAATTCAGTTAACTAAATAACATTACTGCACTCCTTCTAACCTATAAAGCCTTTCAATGTTTGAATTTGCTAACAAGCTCTTGATGCATTTAGCTCAAAGAAGGCAAAATTCAGGTGACTTGTCCAGACGAACATCATTTAAATCATTTGCCCAGATATCGCTTTTAGTCTTTATCCAGTACTTTGTTCCATCCTTCCGCTCAATAATTCCCTTCTGAAAAGAACCTGAGCCAATATTTTTTCCCAGGACAAACGTATTCGGTGTAAGCTTGGCAGGATCTGGTGTCTCATCCAGAACTGCATCTATGATGCTAAACGTTCCCCTGTAATCAGTTACTCTTAATTGGTTGCTTGATCTGTAAACCGTCTTTACGTGCGTTTTTAAATACCTGCCATTAACCTTTACAATAACTGCCGAGCCGGTTAACAGGCAACCTACAAACAAAACAAGTAGAAATTATATTCAACGACGTGTTGGGCTTGAACCCAATAACTCAAAATTTATCTGGAAGAGTTTATTCTCTGCATCCTATCCAAGAATGACATTAACAAAAGTTGCCTTTGGTAGGAAAAACCGGGAAGTGTTCTAATTTTAGCCTGTCAACATAAGGGCCTCTAGTAGGGACGAAGAGAAGAGGAGAAAGCTTGTAGCCTGTTATGATTTTAGAAAAAAAAAAGGCGGGAGAATATTATACACAAAATTTTCGTAAATAATCGACATCTACTTATGTCGCTATGATGAAGCCCACCACTATTGTCCGAGGAGCTGCGTTTTTAACATCCGACATTGGGTTGGCCTCAAATTATTAATTAGCTAACTTATAAGCTGTAAATTATGTTAGCTATACTCGATTAAAAGATACGTACAGTGTAGACCATATAATCGGTAAGACAGGGTGGGGTGTGGAGGGCTGTTATTCGAAGGGAAGCGCTTATTGAATGTTTTTACGTTAAGGGGGTGCTCATTTATGGAGGGGGTCATTGTAATTGGGGGCTTATTCGAGCATTTGCGATAAGCTAGGGAAAGTGTCAGAGGCATTCCTTTGCTTTTTAGTTCATAAATATTTCTACTTATACTTAATCACATTTCTCATATATAAATGAGTTTCTCCAAGAGCTCTATGATTTTACATCCGTTCGAGGTTAAAATGTTTACTTAGTCTTTTTTGTTATTTTTAAAGTCACTCGACCAAGGTATTGGGCGTAGATAAGGCTTCAACGAACAGTAAGTATGTAAAAGGTTTCAATAAGGTGTATAGTAGATAAGACAGTAGAAATCGTTGTTGCGGCTGGATTCTCTTTTTTTTTTTTCTTCCTGCCTGTTAGGTCATGTGATAAGGTGTTTTTTGTACGAAGTTACTCGATGTGTTGGTGTGGAGCGATTTCACCCGAAGTAACGACGCTTTTGAAGAATTTCATTGCCTTTGGTTTAATCTGAACAACGTGCGCATCCTTGTTCTGTACAGATTGAATGGTTTGTCCGAATAAAAGTGTTAAACGTCCTTTTACAGTGGATTTGCACCTACAGTCGTTACTTCACGATGCCATGGAAGCACAATTTCTGGATCTCAACAATCAGGGGTCCTGCAAATATGGTAAGCAAAAAAATGAACACGTATGACGGCTTTCCTGTGACTACATGATTGCACTCAGAAACAAAACGATAGCCCATACTATTCTTCCATCGATTGATGATGCAAATGGCTTTCTCCGTCAAGAAAGACAAAATTCAGACATTTTGCTACCATGGTAAGAGGAAGTCACACATTTCCTCTCTATTGAAATAAGAAAGGCAAAAAGTCTTACCCTGAGGAATTTCGCAGCCATAGACTTCTGCTTTAAGACAAACAGAAGTTGTACCTCCATTTTTTCTCCCACTATACATCACTTGGATTTTTACGTTCTTTCCAATAAATGGTTCTGACGGCACGAAGTTACGAAAACCTTTCTTGAGCTGTTGGAAAAATAAATAAATTTGTTAAATGAAAAAACGTTTCTTGATTTCGGTGGGATTCGTTCTCTGTATGACTTGGTTGACATTGCTGATATTGTCGAATTTATTGGCAGAATCCAAATTTCATCAATGTTCCACCTACAGTAACCATAAAGCGCAAAAACTTACATAGTAAGGTGTCTGAGAAAATCATAAAGTTAAGTTGACTAACATATTGATAATAGTTTTAACAACAGCAGTAGCTTCATGACGTAATTTTGAATTAAACAAGGAAATGGAACTATCCGCCATCTTGAATCTGCCATCTTAAATTAATTAAAATGTGCTTTATTTTGCTTAGGATGGGGAAGGAATGCAAGTATCATAAACAATTCACTTCAAAAGCAGCACGAATAGACTGAATTTGATCTATTAAACCCCCTTTAAAATCAAGCAGACAATAACTCAACTTGTTTGAGCAGTTTGGATATGCAACATATCATCGACTCCGTTCACACCTCAAACAAAGACACTTATCGATCTGATTTTCACCACCAAATCAGCGTGCGTTGCTGTCGGTTAAGAAGTTACATGGTTACAGTGACCGTTGCCTGCGTTTTGGTTTTTCTTACAATTTCCGAAAACAAAAAAAACAAAACAAAAACAAAAAGGCAAGATTTTTTTTGCAATTGTTGATTTAATTCTGCCGTTAGTTTGCCTCTCGCTTCTACAATAGATCGTTTTCACTACTATCACGCAAAAGAAAAAAAATAAATTGGAAACCGTCCAGTGGAAGAAGCCAATTCCAACTCTCAGGCCTTTGTGGCCCACAGTTTCACGCACCTTTGTAGAGCTTTGTATGGAGACGCCATATTAGTTCATATTGCTATACCGTTTTGGTGCACCAATATGGCCGCCGGAAATCAACAAAAACATCTGGAGTTCATTTTTTCTATAAAAGCTCTTTCCTTTCACTCGAGAACTAGCATACGTACGCATAAACATATCTTCTTATACTTGCAATGGTTATACTGCTGAAAATCAAGAAGAGAGACTTTTCCAAGGAGACAGCATTCCTATTTTGGTGTCGCTCACTGTGAAAACTCGCAAGTTCAAATTGCTGTATTTTCGAAATGAAACATGTTACGGGAATGGAAACTTGTACAGAGATTTACTTTTTGTTTATCTTCAACCTAGTGAAATAAGAATTCGTAAAAGTTCGCTATTTTGACTTTATCATTTGATGACGTCACTGTGAAAACCATCTTTATCTACTTTGTCAAATATATACTGCAATTATCCGCTGACCATGACTCAAGAGGACCACTTTACGAGTTGTGAGAACATCGAGACCTTGTGCCCCCGTTGTCCACCCCTTTCACATTTTCTTGGTTTATATCCTTCATATTCAGGTTTACCAATTAAGTCTTGGTCGACATTAATTACCTTATCTAGCGAGTAGACGTCGATCCACTTATTTAACCAAGTTTCAGTGAAAAGATGGATTTTTCCTTGGTAAGTTTCTATGACGTTAACCGAAACGCTTGTTATCTTGTATTTCCGTGGAAAGTCTATCGTGAGGTAGTTCAAATGCTCTTTCTGAGAACACCAGAAACTTTTTCCACCAAGACGAGCGTGGTAAGCAGGATGTCCCTCTCTTTTACTGGAGGCTTGGATAAAACTGTCTGGAATGATTCTGCTGCTCATTCCAAGAGCACTACCATTTCGGCAAACTTAAAAATTAAATACAATGTGTCAGTTTATACATACCCAAGGGCTCATGCATGGAAAATATCTATGATCATTCAATGGGACAATTCAGTACTAGCCTGTAAGGGGATTGTAACAGTAATATGATGATGATGATGATAATAATAATAATAATAATAATAATAATAATAATAATAATAACAATAATACGAAGACCTAGAACTAGAAATACAGAGAATGTGGCATATGAAAACCGTAGTGATCCCTGTGGCTGTTAGTGCGCTTGGTACAGTGAAGAAGGGTATGGTAGAAAACATCAAGAAAGTATCAGTCGAGCCGGAGAGCTACTATGACAGAGATTCAAACGATGTGCATGCTGGGATCTGCGCGAATCCTCAGAAAGGTGCTCAGTGTATGAACAGAATTATTGACTTGAGTGACTGACGCTCTAGGTGCATGGTTTGCGCCCGGCTGATGCACAAAAAGAACACCAACAAAGACGTAACTTAAATAACGAGCATTGTATCTTAAAATTGTACGGAAAACGAACTAATAAATCAAATAAAGGATGTGGTAATGACAAAACAACATAATTTTACTGAATGCAAATGTCAGTGAAGTATCAACTCTTCATACTTTTATTCCAGCGAAGAAATTTTACCTTTACACTCAGGCTTCATTTCTGTCCTTTGTCCACCCAAACATTTAATAACTCCAGTACCATTAAATACAGCAAACATGGCAAATCGAAAAAACCAAAAAGATAAAACAGTCGAATATAATTAACCCTCTATACTGTGTTTACCTTTACAATGGGGTTTATTTCCAATCCATCGTCCATTGGAACATTTTAGAAGTTGATCGCCCTCAAGTCCAAAACCTGGCTTGCATGTATATCTGACTGTCCTGTCATGTCTAAAATCATCTCCAGACATGCTTCCGTTGCCTGGAATTCCAGGATATGCGCAGGGAGCTAAAATACAAAAATGATTTTTTATTTTTTTGAATACATCCTTTTATCTAATATTTTTTTTAAAAAAAGACTAATACGTGACACACGTATTATGTGAGCGTAAATCTGGTAATATTGCAAACCCGAACTATGTTTGTTTTTGTGTCTTTTTGAGGGATCTCGGATTTTTTTGCGACCCTGTCTTGAAAGTCTTTAAAGGACTAACCATTTCTCGCAAGGTGAAGACGCAGGAGTGCGAGTCCAAAAAAAAAAGAAAGACAATCGCCTCGACAAAATGGTAGAAGTTAACGTAATTGTGATTACCTCGGCAAGAAGGAACAGCTTGGCTCCAGTCTTTGGTTTTCTTGCATTTAATTTGGCGGTATCCTTCTAACGTGTAGTTATCATTACAAGCAAATTCCAAAGTATCTTCATAGTTGTAATGATTTTTGGTATTAACTTGTTTACCATTGGTCGGAGATCCTGGGTCTTTACATCTAATAACTAGGACAAAAGAAGAAATTTTAAATTCGGTTAATTGTTTGGTGTCATTTATCAAGAACAAACGATGAAGTTGAACCAATGTTTTTTTTTCTAATAGAAAGCCACTAAAACCATGTTTAAACTAATAAGGACAAACCGCGGGGGTTTAACCAAAAAAAGGATCTTGCAATTTCTCTTAAAATGCACCACACAGTGACGAGTGTATTGATATGTTGGCCTATTAGAAAATGATCATAATCATCAGACCGATAAATACAGGAAACACGGCAAATCGAAAAAAACAAAAAGATAAAACAGTCGAATATAAATAACCCTTAATACTGTGTTTACCTTTACAGCGCGGTTTATTTCCAATCCATTGTCCATCGGAACATTTTAGAGGTTGATCGTGCTCAAGTTCAAAACCGGTATTGCATCCATATCTGACTGATTGATTATGTCTAAAATCATCTCCGATTATTTTTCCATTGGTTGGACTTCCAGGATCTAAGCAAGGAGCTAAAATATAAGAACATGTGTGTTAAACTGGTATAAATTGGTTTAGCCTAAGGCCAAACGTCGAACTTTTTATGAGACGAACCAAACTTAGGAAGCGTCGAACTGGCAATATAATAAGACAACAAACGGAACAGCGGATATTTTTACAAGAAAACAATTTGCCATCTTCGATTGGCTGAATATTCCCCATTATTGGGTTCTTGAGTAGAAAACTCAAAATTTAAAATTTTGCTTAAACGAGGTGCAAAAGAATTGTTCGTTCGAGGTGCAAAAGAATTCGACGTAATAATTAACGGCGGTAGGAGAAAATATATTCCGTACAGAAGCGATTTTCCCTTCTTGGCTAAAAAACAAAACAATATGGTGGTTTTCGTACCGTTTTAGCTACTGGAATTCATAGCTTAAGGGAGAGTTCAAATTTTTCCGGTTCTCTAATGCGTCCCGATTATTTGAAAAAAAGGATTAAGGTCTCGGTAAAGGAAAACGAGGTGCCCACAGAAAAAAATTCTAGTCGCGCGAGTATTTTCGCTACAAAGGCAAGTTATATATTAAATTAAAACTAAAAGACTTAATTACCTTATAAAAGATTTTATTTCATCGAATTTCAAAAGGCGCTTAATTAAGGGTTTTGCTCTCGAACTCAGAGGTATCGAGTTTACTGCTGAAGCTCCAGCCCTTTCGCGTTGTTAAATATTCACTTCCTTTTTATTGCGTCTGATTGACAGCTAAAAGACCTAAAAAAGGGTGTGAGGAAATTTGCATATGTCTCGTATTAGCGGAATTATTGTATTTCAAACTAAAAAGTCGAATCTCGAGCGCGATTTACGCACAGAAACTGACATAAAATGAGTTACAAAGGGAAATCGGAAAATTCCTCACGCCCATTTTGAGTCTATATCATTATCCATCATATCTGAAAGTTTCAAAGCGATAGCTTAAAACCTGTCCCGACTGGTGGTCGGAGAATTTTGATTTTTGCGTCTAAAATAGAGTGAGAGAAAATCAGCTCTAAAGCCTTAGCGCGAGGTCCACGCTTAGCTGGTTAGCTCAGAAAAGGCTCATTTTAGAAGGGTTAAAAAGCACTTTCTGATTTTCTTTTTCTGCCAAAATAAAATTTAGGACCCACTCATGCCAAAAATCCAAAAAAAAACAAAATCGAGCGATGTCCTAAAATGTTCATTTATCCCGATCATTTGAAAAAGGAACGTTCGAATAAAAAGGATTTGTCGTCCCCAGAGGTACTCGTCTGTCTTAAAACCTGAGTGCGCGTGATCAGTAATAAATTTTCTCGTGGTCTAATTTATTTATTTATTTTTTTGTCTTATGGAAAGATCGACGATTTTTAGACGCTCTATCCGTCTGAAGCAGACGGAAAGAATGGTTGGGCGATCCAAGAGCATTTAGACGAACTAAACTGAGTCAGACGTTAAACTTTTCATGAATTTAACTCAGTAATTTTAGTTCGTCTAATGAAACGTTCTAAGTTTGGTCTAGGCCTTAGAAGTGTTCTGATATTAGAATATTTATTTCGTCAATAGGTTATTTTATTTTAAGGGAATCTTAAAAACTCTGTTAATGTACCCTTGCAGCTTGGCTTTTTATTGTTCCATTTGCCTTCTGTGCATGTTATTGCTGCCACACCCTCCTTGACGTAATCTATCGGACAAGTGAATCTAACTGTTCGGCCGTGACGGAAATCTTGATCGATTCTGTTTCCTTGATAAGGAACACCAGGATCTGCACAAGGGGCTGTGTAGTAAAAATCAGATCGATTGATTGAAGATTGTAAGCACATTACTCAGAGAAGTTCCTTTCTCGTTTACATTCGGTTCATGTTAAGGAGTTTCGATACAGTTTTTCAGAGGCCATACGGATATTTTTCAATCGCCTTAAAAGTGGTTTTTTCCCTTTTCCGATCGCCATAAAATTTTCACCAGTAATTGGCTATGGATTGAAATTTGTGAAGATATAGTTTTAAGTAAAATCGATATTACTATGACAACAATAAACAAAAACTTTGAAATTGATAAAAGCCGAATTTTTGACAGTCAAGTCCGAAATAAGTAATGGTAACAGAACTGAGGGGAGTCCAATTCGGTCTGTAATCATACGAGTGATTAACAAAATCGGACAACCGCGTAGCGGGAGTCCGATTTGTTTAATCACGAGTATGATTACAGACTGAATTGGACGACACGAAGTTCTGTTACCAATTAATCATAACTTTAACAAAATTTGTGATACAATAGGCTATTTTTTAAACCAAAACACAAGAAATTCGAAATTTTGTTTTGCTAGCAGTGAAAAGAAAAAAGCCATTTAAGCGCGCGCGTGATGGCGCGTACTGTCCAATTACTTAGGCATGACGCGTACTGTCCTATTAAACTGTCCAATTAAGGCTGAAATCAGGGCAGTTGAGAGCCAATCAGATTTGACAATTTTGTTATGGTTATGATTAAATGCCTAACGAAAAGGGTTTCGTACTATTAAGTCGTATGATCTGCGCTTCAATAAAATTTCAATCTGCCAACTCAAACTATTTTTCTTAGGCCAAAGAAATTCTAAATTTACGTGAAAATTAGGCGACATCAAAAGGAAAATATCGAAATCACGTGGACATAATGATGTAGGAGTTCATATAAAACTATTTTTAAGCTTTATAGTCACATATTGGAAAAACCTATACCAATTAATAGAAAAATGTTGAACATAAAAAAGAAAAAAAGGAGAAGTAAGAAAAAACATGTCCTGACAAAAAAAAGGGAAAAGGAAATGGCAGGAATTATAATGTAAATATTGTTACCTCGGCAATAAGGTAAAGCTCCACTCCAGTCTTTAGTTTCTTCGCATTTTATCTGGCGGTTGCCTTCCAAAGTGTAGTTATCATTACACGCAAATTTCAAGGTATCTCCATAGTTGTATTTGTTTTTGGCATTGACTTTTTTACCATTTATGGGAGATCCTGGGACTGCACAGCTGATAACTATAAGTTAATACAATTAGAGCTCAGATAAGATTGCAAAACAGTTTTTTCGTGGGAGTAAATTGACTTTTAGGTTACGGTGGTTCTTTTTTTTTTTTTTTCTTTTAGAGTAAAGATGTTCAATTTACTTATTTATTGATCATTTTTTCTTTTTTTCTTGCTACCTAACTTACTTGTACATTTGGTTGTTGTCCCACTCCATGAGCCAGTATTGAGACACTTTCTTATTTCTGAACCACTGATCTCGTATCCTTTTTCCGTACATTTAAATCGGACCATGCCATCGACCCTCGTGTGAGTTTCCAATACTTTTGAAGCCTTGGCAGGTGTGGGTAACACTCCACAGTCAATCACTTTGAAAAAGAAGCGTATAGAAATTTTAAAAATTATAAAAAGGCGACTTTTCCTGTATTTGTATAGAAAATGCGCAATATAATTAGTAAATATTATTATTATCATTTATGTTTGACTTCATCTCCAAAATAAACGAACTCTGTTAAACCACAACAGTACTGCTAGTTTTAACAGTTTCTTACATTTTCTTCCGAGTATTGGTTTGCATTTGAAATGTTTCATTACAAACAATTTTATTGAGTTTGAGTAGTTTAAAGACAAAACAAGTCAAACGATTGTAACTGGTATGCCCTGACTAAACTGGTAATTAAGGTTTCCATCCATCAATTTCCTTTGTTTGAGGTTTTCCTTTCTTCGTTTGTTTATTTTGTGGTAGCCCACTAGTTAACATTTTATTTACAATACGTACGTTCACATTTGGGCTGTCTTCCACTCCACTGTTCATTAGCTTGACACTGACGAAATTTATCTCCAACAAGTTTGTATCCATGAATACACTGGTAATAAACTTTACTCTTGAAAGTAAAGACGTAAGATTTCAACTCTCCATTGGAAATGCTACCCGGATGACCACAGGATTTTGCTGAAAAGATACGAGCGAAACACCTCAGTATCGGAAAAATAGCTTGTGTGCACTCTGGCTATGAGCAGATGAAGTTTAAGCATGATAAGGCCATGCAGTAACCGCCAAATTCTCCCAGTTTCCAAGGCTAATGTTGCTTTTTGACCGTCAACATTCATTATTGCTCGGGCGTTTCCATGGGTACGGCCAAGCTAAAAAAAGGGCTCTGTTTTTTTTTCTTTTCCTTTCTTTTATTATCCTGGCACAAATCACTCAATGTCGCACAGAGTAAGTGCACAACATCTAAGAGTATGCGTAAAATAAGGCCAGCGGACTAAACCAGAGCACATGGCCAGTCGTTTCCTGATGTTTATGCATATCCGGACTGGTTTTATTTACTGGGCTGCCTGTGCGTCCGTCAAAAAACGAACACTATCAATAATTAACCCAGTAACCCAGACGACATCGCGTGGTCCATAAAGCCTGTTTGTCGATCTTTGCAGAGTTCGTTTAAAGAGTGCGTTTGAAGATCTAGTCCTTTCTCTGATACTCCTCTTTGGAGTTTTAAATTTCGGATTAGGATAAAGAAGACTCGTCCGACGAAAACACTGGCGTCATTGGCCTTTTTTCCTCAATGGCGAGTGGGCAGATAAGAGGGAATTTCCTCTCTACGCCCAAATCTCTCCTCTTTTTTTTTTTTTTTTTTTTTTTTCATAAATTTGCATAGTTTTACTTTTTGTCTCTCCGCGCGTGGCTCTGAGGAAAGAAGTACGACCGCTTGCGGTCTACATTTTTGCTTTTGTTTGTATCGTTATCATTAATTGCGTGATCGAGTATTGTACCTAATTTCTGTGTCTCCACCAATTCAACAAGCACGATTGATGTTAGCATCAGCGAGTTTTGATAAACTTTGAAAGTTCGCATCTCGCTCTAACATGTATACCTTTAAATGTAAACAAACCGTATTTTACTGAAAGAAACACTGTAAATGAATAAGTGAGGGAGTAAAGGAGTAAAGGGTATAAAGTTAGGATATAAAGGTCAATTTTTGAGCTTCGAGATGAATTGCTTGAACAAATACAATTTGAGCTTGTGATTAGTGCGATGCTGGTAGTACTGAGTAAATAGCAATCAATACATCAATCAAACCAGGTATGTTTTGTTTACGTGCGTCGCAGATCGGGTCTGGTCTGATTTGTGGTCGCAGATTGCAAATGCTTTGTTTGGACAGATACTTATTTGAATCGTGTTTGTGCGAAGGTTTATTAGATCTGAGTCCCTTCAAAATATAACTGGAGATCGAGCAGTGGAGATTAGTGAAGGCCAATTTATTGGGAATGACCGCGTTCGTATCTGACTGAAAAAAATGGACTGTTTGTTGGAGATAACATCAACGTAAATCAGAACATCGGTACTCGACACTAGTTAAAGCCGCCATGAACAAGTGATTTGTTAATTTTTTGAAATGAAAAGATTCTTTTTGTTTATTGGAAATTTGGCGGCATGTATTTTAGAGAACTTTTCGACACTGGCTTGCTGGGGGCTTGCCTATGGAGAGCAGCCTCTCTGCAAAACTCATAGCCGGCGGAGTAAAGTGTCGCGGACAAATCACTTCTTTGCGACGTTTGACAAGGTTTCAGATGAGATAAAGCCACCTAAAGTTCCAAATTTAACTCAACAACAAAAAACAAGAAATTCCGCAGCAATCGCTCAGAGTTTGAAACTTTTATTACGGTTTCGCGTGGAGCGTGTTTCATTTAAAGAACAAAGTAAATTTTACAGTAGTCTGTTAGTTATCTGTCACTTTACAAATGAACCGAACCGTGAAATATCAAGGGGCGTTTTCCAGAATTGTGGGGTTTGCGGGCAAGCCTTTCCTCTTCTCCCTCCCCTTTCCCCTTCCATCTTTTTTGGCTCCCGCTCTGACTTTCGCGCCATAGCTCGATTGGAAACGCTTGCTACGCAGGCTTAGGATTCTATGTCACGCAATGGTCGGCGACAAGGTTATTTTGCAGCCTGTGAACAGCCGCCCCCTCCCCTTAGGAAGAGAATACTGGCGATTTGGGCGGCTGAGTATTATGGCAGCCCAGTTAAAATCGCCTATCGGCGAGTCTAGTTTCGATGTACGTTGCCTTTGAAGACCAAGATTTCTTACGTGATTTTTTTTCTCATTGGAGCCTTTTTTTTATACGGACGCCCGAGCTCACGCATATTATATGTGTCTAGTTTAACATTCATTCGCTGAGGACTGAGTACATTTCTCATAATTTCTCACACTGACAGAGATCGCGATCGCTGGGTGATAGCAACAAAAATTACAACTTAAGCTTAACGTCTCTTTCTGTTTTTCCCCTTCCGATCACTGGATGAAAAAACAGATTTGAAATGAGATAAATGTGGGACAAATGTGGTCTAAATATGAAATTTGTCACATTTGTTCACATTTGTGCAAAACACAAATTAGACATTTGTCTTTAAGACAAATAGGATAATGATGCATTTGCTATCTAAGACAAATGTGAACAAATACAGATAAATGAGCCAAACTGCAAACAAATGTGTTCAAATGTGTTCAAACTTTGTCAAATAACATATTTGTATGGACAAATATAGAGCAAAGTTTATATTGTAAAGTGAGCGTGCCAGGCCAGTACATACGTACCCTTCTCTCTTTTCTTCCCTGGCATCTACCCCTTTATTGCTTCTTGCAATTTGCACTTAACACTAGCTTTCAACCTTTCTTTAAAGTGGACTAATGCTGCAGAAGTTCATTCAACTCAACTAGGACAGGTTGAAAGACCATCAGTTCGATCCCTTTCCCCCTCATATATCACTCCCCTTACCTGAAACCCAGATATGACGAAGACACTGCTAAAACAGTAACAATCTTCATTGCACTTCGTTCTTTGAAACTTCTTAAATATCAGAGTTCCACGGTAAAGGGTGCAAGGTGATTACAATATTTAAAGAAAAATGACTCAACAATTTTAACTGACAATTCTCATTTATTTCACAATGCTTGTCCTGATCTTACAATTAACCGTAAAACAAAACTAAAACATTAAGTTTAACAAGTGTCAGTTCATTTCAAGATGACCAAGTCAAAAGACTTTATTAGGTAGATAAATAAACAGAAACTTGGGATTGCAAAAATCACTTTTTTTCCAAAGTCACCGAAATGGGGTCTATAATATGCCCACAGAGTAGACTATCGGTATACAGTAATGGGATAGAGATACTGAGAGGCCAGCAGCACATACCTAGTAAAAATTAAACCATTAAATAAAACTTTCCCTTCAGGTACCATTGGTACAACATCCAACAAACTGTATCTTTAGTTAATTACCACAGGAAAGATAACAATCTTCATTGCACTTAGTTCCACTGTTATTAGAGTATGTAATTTTAAATAATTAATTATAGCTATTAAAAACACCTCTGTTAAGTGGACACCTTGAGATGGTCCCTGCTTCTCTTTACAACTCACTCTATTTGGATCTCTATAAGACGGATATACCGAGTCAGTAGTGCTGGTCCCAAAGGTGTCCATCTTAAAGAGAGTTGACTGTCCAGACAAAATATTCCTATTTCTTATATTAAAAATAATATCTAAATGCACTTTAGGAAATACCAATGACAAAAAGCAAATGCCTCACAATTGCCAAGGTTTGTTTGGTGGGTTATTGATACTTGCCAAAGGCAACAAAACTAATGAAATAGCTGACTTCTGGAGTGACTGCTAGAGGGTTTAATGTACATTTGTCGTTAATCAATAATGCTACAAAGACTTGACTAAAATTTGGTAAACAGCAAAAATTTCACACATCATAATATATTTTTGTACACGCATCTTATTGATAGCTTGAGAATTTGGAAAAGTTTAAGCCTGGGTAATCAAAGACTATACCGTTTGCACTCTTAAATGTTTGCCACAGTTAACCAAATAATCCAAGTCACATTTATATACGCTCTTAGAAAATCCATAACATGTACTGTTATTAAAATCTATAACCAAATAATGGACTTTGGACATCTAAGCCAACAGTTAAACCTTGATTATCTGGACCTCAATTAACCAACTTTTTGATTATCACAACTTTTCCTCTGGTCAAAGATTTCTTAAATGAATATTGCAAATAAACAAGAAGGTAAACCTAAGCCTGATTTTCTTTTGGCTTCACATCTTCGAAAGGCTTATTGAAAAGTTTTCTTTTGTCTTTGAAAAGCAAAGTTGGTACTTTTATGTGATATCAGCCTGCAAGGAAAGTCAAGTCCGATAGCCCGGGGCTAGTGATTTTTGTTCTTAACTTGCCTGATAGGCAAGTGCTGTTTTTTGGAGAAATTCAAAATACCGAAGGATTGTAATCAATCCTGCTAATCAAAAAGCTACAGCTTGCCAGAATGGCAGGCTGTAAAACTGACTTTCTTTGCATCCTGGATGTATTATGATAAATTAAGCTACCCTATTAAGACAAAAAAATGCCACAGTTGATTATCTTCTGTGGAAGGTAGCCTCATACTACTAATAACATATACTTTTCTATTATCTCCACTCTCTTTCTCATTAAATTGATATGAATTCATATAAACAAGGTCAGGCCAGGTTGTGTAATGCTGGTTTATGCAAACCTTGAGTTGAGATAGGAAAGCTTACAAACAAATTCACTTTAAAAGTTCTTTTTGCCTGCAATTTGATGATTGGATGCTCTAAAAAAGAAGAGCACATTAAGTGTGAAATAGCCTGCGTAGCAGGCGCTTGGAAGTAGTGGGCACAAGAAAAAACGGGCGCGCGAGAAGGAGACACGC